CCCAGGAAAATGGGTGTTGCAAAAGAACATGAGAAAGTAAGGGATTTCATTTACCTGGATAAATCAAACAAAAAACGAAGATGGGTAAGTGCATTTACCCAAGTAAATGTGTTTTCGAAAAAAGAAGATGGCCTAAAAACGAAACCGTATGCATGATTCCATTTGGTGGAAGAATGTGGTGAAGATAATGGAACAAATAAAAGGCTGCCTACTCTGGCAAGTGAAGGATGGTAGCTGATGGAGGATGATTTGACCTGACCTACTGAGACGATGACATGTGGATTTGACTCAGCATGAGCAACAACTCAGTATCATGGCCTGACCACAACTAAGTAACGAGCCTGTAGAGCAGCTCGTTACGTCATAGTTCGCTATAGGGGGAGCTCGCAACAACACGAGCTCCAGGTCCCCCGAGCTATTGGAAAGGGAATACTCCAAGATTGTTTTAGCTCGCGAGCTAGGGAAACCAGTTCGCTCTAGCACCTGGGCAGAAGAACTGCCCCGAAGACCGACCTTGATGAGGGTCACCTCGAAATACCCCTAAGAGCTTGCTACAAAAGTAGCTCGCAGCGTGACAGGGTAGCTTGTGACTAAGCAACGTGACGCTCTCAAGAAGCTTCTATCTGACAAGACCGTACTCGTCAGACTGCACCACGTCTCTCGACTGACGGCGCAGTCCCTGCCCATTTGACAGTTTGCACCCACATCTCTCGACAGATGGTGGCGTGCCTGTCCCTTCAAGACGTGTCACTCATCCAAGCGGGTAGTACATTGTAACGATCACCTGCACAGCCCTGGTAGGTAACGGCTGCGACAAGAGCCTAGTGGCGGTTACGCCCGATTTGACAAGAACACCCCTATAAAAGCCCTTTAATCAAAAGGGAGAGGACATTCTCTCGAATTAGATCTGAACTTGAATTCTTACTTGTTCACGAGCTAATCTTGAGACACAGTGATCCAACGCGACCTACACTCTTAGCCTTTTATACTCTTTTCTTCCTCCCCAGTGTTCTAACTTAAGCTTCGGAGTATTCTCGCCGGGCAAATCCCTCGGGAATCCTTCACCTTCGTCTTCTCAGGTGTCGTCCGTTGCCAGCAAGGAGCCAGTCAGCAGGCAGCTAGGAGTGCCCGAATTGTGCTGCATCATTTGGCGTCGTCTGTGGGAAATGCTTCTAAAAGCCTTCCTCTAAGCTTTCACAGTTTCTCTTCTAAAAAAAAGCTCAGCATTCATGGCTTCTTCCAGCAATGCCAGACGTGGCACCAGCCAGAACGCTTCTGGGGAGAAGCCCCAGTTTCCTACTGTCTGTATTGGGGCTAAATGGTGTAAGTGGATAATGGGTTGTGTCCGGAATTGTCATTACTTAGTGCTAGTGAATGGGACAATGGTAGATTTCTTTCCAGCCAGTAGGGGTATAAGACAAGGAGACCCCCTTTCTCCTTTCTTGTTCATTCTAATTGTGGAGGTTTTAGAGAAATTGATTCACAGAGCAGATTCTAGGGGGCTCATTAGAGGTTGGAGAGTTGGGAGGGCAGAAACCCCTCTTACTCACCTGCAGTTTGCTGACGACACGATTCTGTTTTGTGAAGACGGTAATGTGAGCTTTATTAGGAATTTGAAGTCGGTGATACAACTGTTTGAGCAAATATCCAACTTGAAAGTTAACCTTGGGAAAAGTTGTGTTGTGGGGGTGAATGTGGAGGAGGGAGAGATCAGGGAGAGTGCTAAAGTATTGGGGTGTGAAGTCTCGGGTTGGCCTTTGAACTACTTAGGGTTACCTTTAGGGGATAATCCCATGAGAGAGAGCTTTTGGAACCCGGTGGTGAAAATGTTCGAAAAATGATTGGTGTCATGGAAAAAGAACTACCTCTTTCTTGGTGGGAGAATTATTCTTATTAAGGCCACGTTTGCTAATTTACCTATCTTTTTCCTGTCGGTGTTTAAAATCCCGGTGAAAGTTGCTAATAGATTGGAGAAGTTAATGAGGGATTTCCTATGAGAACCGGGAGAGGAAAAGATGGATCATAGAGTGAGCTGGGAGATAGTTTGTAGGAGTAAGACATGTGGTGGCTTGGGGCTTGGGAATGTTAGGAGAAGGAATATGACTCTGTTGGGAAAGTGGTTGTGGAGATTCCTCTTGGAGAAGGAGAAGGAGAAGCTTTGGGCTAGAATAGTGGCAAGTCTTCATGGGCTGGAGCACAATGGATGGGATGCTGGAATCAGAGTTAGGACCACAAGCAATTCTCCTTGGAAAGCCATTCATGACCTGCTACCAGTTTTCTCCCCTAATATCAGGTATGATTTGAATTCCGGTAACTCCATAAAATTTTGGGAACAAACCTGGGTGGGGAATGCCCTTCTAAAGGATAAGTTTCCTTCTTTGTATGCTCTTTCTAATTTGAAAAATGAGTCAATCTCGTCCTTCACCACCCCGTCCTCTTCCACTTCTCTTCCACTTCTGGGATTGGGTGGAACTTGGGTCTAAGAAGGGATTTGAGGGACTCAGACTTTGACAATATTTTGAGCCTTATTGCACTTCTTGATAACGTTGTCTTAGACCCTACTAGAGCGGATTTTAGAATTTGGACACCTACCCCCAACGACATCTTTTCTTGTGCTTATTTCTTCAAAGTCTTAAGTCATCCCACCAGTCCTACCTTCCCCCTTTTCCTATTGATGAGGTTTGATGTAGAGCAATACCTCCTAGGGTTGGTAGTTTTTGTTGGGAAGCCTATCTGGAAAGAATCAACACTGGTGATCTATTCCAAAAGAAGAGACCCGATACTTGTTTGTCACCTTAGTGGTGTGTTATTTGTAAAGCGGATGGGGAGACTGGTTTTCACTTACTAGTGTTTTGCCATTTTGTGAGGTCAATTTGGGAATGGGCTTTGTCCCTATTTGGATGTAGTTGGAATCCTCCATCAGACTTGCAGGGCCCTTTTTCCCCTTCTTTTTTCAGGTGGCGGATAAAAAGGGGAAGGACAATGTGGAGAGGACTAAGGGCTGCAGTATGTTGGACACTTTGGGAAGAAAAAAACTCCAGGATATTTTCAAAAGCTCAGAGAGGAGTAGCAGATTTGAGGGCTATCATTCATATTAGGGCGGTACAGTGGCTGAAATCTTTAGAGCTTTTCACAGATTACACTGTGGATGACATGCTGAGGAAGTGGGGTGAAATTGCAAATTGCACACAGACCAAGTCAGTAATGAGTGTGGCTTGGACCCCTCCACCTGGTGGATTCGTGAAACTAAACTTTGATGGGTGTAGCAAGGGAAATCCGAGACAATCGGGGATTGGGGGTGTTTTTAGGGATGAAAATTGGGTCATTTCTGCCATGTTCTCAGGCCCAATTGGAGTGGGTGACTCCCTTAGAGCTAAGATATGTGCAGTTATGGAAGGAGCCCGGAAAGCTAAGGAATTGAACATCAAGAAACTTATAATTGAAGGGGATTCAGAGGTGGTGATAGGGTGGCTGATTAAAGATCACARTGGCTTATGGAAGTACAATAATGAGAGGAGGAAATTCAAGTGGCTGGTGCAGGAGATGAAAGTTAAGATATGTTGGATTAAAAGATCGGCTAATTCCCTAGCTGACGGTTTAGCTAAACAAGGGGCAGAAAGGGATTCACTGTTTTGGGCTAAGCTGTAACTATAGTGTGTTTTCTTTCTTTTTTTTCCTTTTCTTGAGGTTCTTTGTTGCTCTTGGAAGATAAGCATGTTTGTTTTCATATTGTAAATCTTCTATTGATGAATTAATGAAAGTGTTATTGATCAAAAAAAAAAAAAAAGGAAGAGGAGGGTTTGAAGGTTGTAGTGTCGACGGCGACAATGATGGTGATGGCGGCAACAATAGCGGTGATGGTGAAAAACGGGAGTAGATATGAGATTTCTCAGTTTGATCTCACTCTTTCTCTCTCGCAGATCTGTCATCTAAAGTCTAAAGTCTAAACTTCTCTTCCATATCTCTAAATGTAAGATCTCTCTCTCTCTCACACATTTTTCTCAGAATTTCATTAGAACTCAGATCTAAGAGTCTTTGGATCGAACGGTTTCACTATATTATTGAAGGAACTAACCATTACTTTTGCAAAAGGTAGAAGAATTCTTACCACATCTGTTACCCAATCTAAAATGGTCTCTGATCGAGGGACTGAAGAAAGGCTAAAAGTGTACACATCAACTCAATGTTTTTTTTTTTTTTTTTGTGATTCGATATGATTGTAAGACAAGGAAGGTTGGTGGGAAACAAAATATTATATATATGTATGTATAAATATTATTCAGTTGTTTTAAATATTATATATATGTATGTATGTGGATTTAGCCATTGCCTTAAATATTATATATATGTATATATATATATAATTAATCATATAAATAGGAAGACTAATACTGCTGCCAATGCCCTCGCTTACAATGCTTGCAATTATAATGTTATATCTAGTAGGGACCTTAGCTAATACTTATTTCGCTTTTTGTAAAGCAAATCTTTATGGTTTCGTGTTTGCCCCCACTAAACACGGGCACGGGGACGAACTGGAAATTTGGTGGGGAATAGGAACATTTTGTGGATGGGGATGGAAAAGCTCTATCCACTGAATTCACATTAACACCTCACATGCACATCTCACATGTATTGGGAACATCTTTCATAATTGCCATTAAGATTTCCAATACACGATTGGGATATACTGTAGGTTGGGATTGTTGTTAGAGGGTATGTGGAATTTAATCAATTTGAGAAATTTATTTAACCATTTTTTTCTTACCTATTGTATATCGTATATGAAGATAGAAGATTCCAAAATAACGGTTCATGTAAAAAACTAAACCTTCGCATATGTAAGGTGTAACCTATCCACATAACATTACAGCTAGACCTGTTCACGGGCGGTTTCAATTTTACACTGTCTTAAGTTTGGAGTTATACATGGGGAACATTTCATCTTCTTATATATTATTATTATGCACAGAGATGCTCCAATGCACTGAGGTAGTGTTTTGTGGGTAGGCGTAGATAGAAGTGTTCAATACAACTGAGTCTCAGACGAGGCCTACAGTGAGCATTGGTGTGTTCAAATGTGATAGATTGTTCAGCCGGGTGTGTATAATTTTGTCCCCAGCCCATTCGCACTTGTTATATGGGTAGACCGGTAGAGAAGTGGGAACAACGTTTGTGTAGCGGATTCGGAGTGACCTGATGGTCTCCTAATCTACAATGCACTGGTGTGTTCAAATGTGATAGGTTGTTCAGCCAGGTGTGTATAATTTTGTCTCCAGCCCATTCGCAGTTATTATAGGTGGACCGGTAGAGAAGTGGGAACAATGTTTGTGTAGCGGATTCGGAGTGACCTGATGGTCTCCTAATCTACACTGCCAATCCCTAAACCTTTTTGTTGGTTGGTGGGCCGTTCTAGAAGGCAGTTATGAATCAAGTCAAAATACATCCATCCGTCTGACCTTATGCTAGTGGTGTCTCGCTTGCTCTCGTCCTCGATCTCCTGCAGTTCCAGGTAAGCCCACAAAATAAAAACTCGTCTTCGTTTCAGAGATAAATCCCAGTTGCGTTACCCGATTTTCTGGTTTCTCGTTTCTCGATTTAAGTTCAAGCAATATCTCCTTTACTCCTTTCTCTCTCTGATGTCTGTGCCCATCATTTGATTTGGAGAATGAGTAGAAGATGTTGGTTAGAGAAATGGGTATTTTAATTTTGAGTAGAATTTCAAGCCTAATCTTCATAAACTTGCATGGAAATTCGATTAGGAGTATTACAATCTGCATTGTTGCCACGAAGTAGGCACAAACAATGCTGAGTTGAATTTTTGATTCTGCTCATTACTGATTTCTCTTATCATCTTTGAATTATGTTGGAAGTTTAAGGACAAAGTATAGGCTAAAGAGTATAAGTAGTCAGATGGGTAGTGAGAATTTACTTCCAGAAAAGAGAAAACAAGCCACTCTTCGTCTGTGCAATGTGTCCAGGTGTGTCTAATTTTCACTTTGTATATTAATGCACTCAGTGAACTACTGAATACTGATGGATCTATAATTATATATATATTTTTGCAGTCATATGACTGAATTACTTGAGTTGCGAGCGGAAGATCCTTTGATCAACATTTTGCTTATCCCAGGAAATCCAGGTCCTGCGGTAAACTTGTGCAGAAATGTGTATATGTATCTGTGGATGATAACTTGCCTTTAAATTTCTGTCTCTCAGTTGTTGAATGGTTATTACAGGTATTATATCTTTTTACAAGGACTTCGTGGAAGCAGTTTATGAGCTTCTTGGAGGAAAGGCATCAATAACAGGCAAGAAATGGAGCAATCTATTGGGTACTAATTGGAGCTGTGATTTCTATATACTAACCACTCACGCCTATGTTTTCATGTTCAGCAATTGGGCATATATCTCAAACAAGAAAGGTGCTTATACATTGCTGTTAACCTGAGGTTAATTAAAGTAGTGCAATGATTTACTAGTGATTTGGACATAAGATATCTTATGTGCTTGTGCATCTGTGAGACTGTGACATTGTGCAAGGATGCATCTGATCATTAGTTTAACTTTAAACTACAACGTGTAGGATTAGCTACCATTTTGATGGCTGGGTATCTGATTATGAAATCTGAATAATGTATTATGGTTTCCAGCTATGATGCCCAGATATGGATGTTGTCGTGTACATTTTGTTTGGGAGAGAAAGTAAAGTATAATTTCATTGAAAAACCAAAACAAGTATAACAAGCTGTTATACAAAAAACGGGGGATATTGTCGTTTACATGGATATGGGAAATGGGGATATGACTCCATTTCTTAAGATTCCTAACATGGACACAGGATTAAGTGTCTTGTTTAATATGCTTATAGAATGCTTTTATGTCTAGTTTTGAAGCTAAGTGTAATTTCTCAATGCTTATATCTTGTTAAATTTAATTTAACTTCTAACCAATATAGATTTTTTATAGTATGATTTGTTAAAATATTCCAATTTACATATTTTAAAATGATTGATGTTATAATACGAGTAAAAAAAGTTGATAAAAATCAATAAAACAGTATTTGATGCTATAAAGTTTACTCAGTGCCTCTTTAGTATCTGAAACTAGTATGCCGGCCATGTGCTAGTATCTGGGTATCATGGGTTGCAAGTCCCTGGGCTACCTTGAATTCCTCCAATTTATACCTCAATAAGATTGATAATTGGGCTTGGTCTGGGTAGGATGTTTCTTCACACAAGAAGACTCTGGTCCGCCAAACTATTTTCTCCTAAACAAAGACTTTTTAATAATTTATAATTTTATACCTTCTTGAAATTCTGGTTAGGCACTGTGATTCACCTAATCTTTATTGGTTGAGTTAGAAAAATAGAAAAAAAGGAGGACTCAGAAAAGATAGTGGAAACTGAAGTCCGAGTAAGCAAATTGTTGGGGCTATCTGTTTTAGGAGTGGAAGATTTTTCAAGAAAAATGTTTTGGGATTTAGAGTAGAAGTTTCTAATGAGTGAGGAAAGTTCCAATTTGGAATTTTTGATTAGTAGAGAGCTATTATTAGGTTTGTGCATGGATGGTGTAGGTAGCAAGCTTTGGGTCCTTTGAGGGGTTGGGTTTTGACAGCAAGAGTGTCATGATGTTTAAGGGCTTAGAAAAAGGAAAGATTAATGCTTTAGTTTGGGCTGCAGTATTGGACAGATGTTTTTGACCAAGGATAACTTGGTTTAGGAGGGGGGCACAGCTTCCTGACTTGAATTGTAATTTGTGTGGACAGATGACGGAAGATGTTGACCACCTTTTCGTTCACTGTCTGTTTGTCTCTTGGATTTGGTGTCACTTCCTTGAAGCTGTGGGAGTGGGTTCGACCATGCCTAGATCGGTCAAGAGATTTTGTGGTGCTGGAGCCTCCCAGGTTTGAGTAAAAGAGGGAAGTGGTTTGGCACTCCATTCCAGTGGCTGTGGTTGGGGCAGTGTGGGCAGAGAGAAACAGAAGGCAGTTTAGAAATTCTAGAAAGGAAAGAGTGTGAGCAGTTTAGAAACGATGGTATAGGGAGCAAGGTTTGGGTCCTTTTGTGGGGTTTGAGTTTTGACAGCACAAGTGTCATGATGTTTAAGGTCTAAGAAAAAGGAAAGAGTTTTATCATATGTATTCAAAAGGGTTTGAAGGGTTGTGGTGTTATGGGTTTTAAGTTCTTATCCCTTGTTGTGGGTGATATATTGTCTCCTTTTTTTTGTACCTTCTCTTGTTTCAATATAATTTTCCTTTTTATTTATTATCAAAAAATATTGTATTCCATTTTTGTTAGTAAAAATTTTTAGTCAACATATTCATGTTTGGTGACTTGTTTGAGTTGTATTTTTTTTGGATATCATTTTTCTGTATGCTCCATAGAAACACACACATAGATGTGCATGCATGTGTGATTTTAAATTTGACTGAAACTTCTCCATTTCATTGGTATCTAACAGAAATCCTTCTTGTACATCCTGTTACACGCTCTTCCTTAAAAATCTTTTTATTCCTCTCTTTCCATATTTCCTAGAAGACTGCAAAAGGAATACAGCTCCAAAAAATTTTAGCGTTTTTGCTTCTTTGTAAGTTAGGCCAGCATGCAAAGATTTCACTTGGTGAACCCAATGACCAAATGTCTTTGTCGAAGAGATGGAAGTAGAAGCCCAAAATAAAGAAAGAGAACTTGCAGCCATGGAAAAGGTGAAACACCTCGTCTTTCAACTGACAGAGAGCACAGCTGCTTGCTAGATGAGTACCTCTCTGTATGATATGATTTTGCATCAGGATGCTGTCTAAAGACACCAGCCAAGCAAAAGCATTTACTCTTGGAGGGACTGGGTTTTCCCAAACACCTTTGATCTCTGACCTTTCTATCTGATTTCTCACAAGAGCTTTGTAGAAGGATTTCACTGTAAATCTTCCATTTCTGCACTCTTTCCACCACCTCTCATCGGGCCCTTCAACATTGATCTCTGCTTCTTGTAATCTTGACAGAAACTGTATGCATTCTTCCACCTTTCTATCCAGCAAAGGCCTCCTGAACTTTGGAGCCCAAACCGCCAAACCCTGCCTGATTTATAACATTGTGCTATGACAATGTTCTTTTCACTTAGATTATAAAGTCTTGGACATATCTCACTGAGTTTCCCAACTCCCAACCAATCATCCTCCCAAAACCTAATGGGGTTACCCAAACCCATCCTCCATCTTATCAAGTTGACCATCAAATAATGAAATTTCATAATGCCCTTCCAAACCCCCACACCATAAGATGAAACCACCTCCCTCGAATCCCACCCAAAGTTAATAACCCCAAATTTGCTCTCCACTACCCTTCTCTCTCAGACTCAAATCTCCACCCCCTCTTTCCCAATAATGCCTTGTTCATCACCCTCACCTTTCTAATGCCCAACTGCCCATCCTTATTTACCCTGCAAACCCAGTCCCATTTAACAAGATGGAACTTTTTAACTTCTGAATTGAAATTCCATAAAAAACTCCTTCTGAATCCTCTCAATCTCATCTGCAACTATAGCTGGAACCTTGATAATTGAAAGATAATAAATAGGTGGATTGGAAAGCACACACTATAAGGCTAATTCTTCCTCCCAAAGATAAAATACCTCCCTTTTCCACCTTTCTAGCTTCTGATCTATACTATCTATCATTGGTTTCCAGGTTGAGAAAGTTGAAGCTTTTGTGCCAATGGGAAGTCCCAGATAAGTAAATGGAAATTCTCCCACCAAACAGCCTAGTGTCTTTGCACATTCTTCAAGGCATATATTGGATATGTTCCCCACTCCTATCATCACACTTTTCTTCAAATTGATTTTCAATCAAGCTAGAAATTCAAAACCCTTTCAATATTGCCCTTAGATTCAGAACTGCTCCACTAAAGCATCCATGAAAACCAAAGTGTCAGCGGCATACTGTAGATGTATGATTTTCAGGTCCCCTCTTCCCATCTTAAAACCCGAAAGCATACCTGCTTCCACTCCTCTCCCAAAGAATAACCCCAACACCTCAACCACCAAAACAAACACCATTGGTGACTGTGGATCTCCCTGTCTTATCCCACTTGTAGATGTGAATTATTCTGTAGAGACCCCATTAACCAACACTGAGAAAGAGACTGAAGACACGCATGCAAAAATCCAGCTCCTCCACTTCTCCCCAAAACCCATCCTTGTAAGCACTTTGTCAGAAAACCCCACTCAACATGATCATATGCCTTCTCCATATCAATTTAACAAACCACTCCTTCCACCTCACTTTTAATTCTAGAATCAATACACTCACTTGCAATCAGTATCCCGTCCAAAATTTGTCTGCCTTATACAAAATCCATTTGCATAGGACCCACCACCAAATGCGGCACCTTCATCAGCCTTGTCAATAAAACCTTCACAATTATTTTGTAAGGGCTTGAAATTGGACTTATTGGTCTAAAATTTCACTCTACACGCCTCGAGGAATGAAAAAAAAACAAAAAAAAAAACATTGGCTTAATTTAATATGCTTCATGTTTTCTAAAACCATCAAAACAATGGATTCAAAACTAACAAAGAGTCATGAACCATGTCCAAGTATTCAGTTACATAGAAACTGAAACTAATCCATGGAACCAAAATGAAACAACACAACAGAACCCATCAAATAGTAATCGAACAAGCAATACAACACACTAATAAACAACAATCAGGAGAAAAAAAAACCCTAAACAGATCTGAGACGAGCACATTGGGAAATACCACATAACTGGAACAAATCCATGGGAAAAACTCCACATCTGGAACAACACATGTCCCTGTCCAGATCTGGAGTGCCAATGTTAAACCAGAGGACAATAGTAGCAGATCTGGAACACAGGTCTTGTGTTTCAGCTCGTCGGCGAGGAAAAACTAGTCCAGCTGACCATGTTGGAGGGGCGATTCAATGGGTTGTGGAAGGAGAAGAAATCAACAAAATGAGATAAAAATGATACCAAAATAGAAGCAAAACGCGAGAGGATTTTGGATCTGTACTTATCGTTGCACGAAACTGCCAGAAACGTCGCCGGAGAACTAACTGTTGGAGGGTGGATAGTCAGAAGATGAAGACCCGAGTCTGGTGCTCTGACAGGCTCAATGAAATTTTCCAACTTGAAACCCAATATTTTCTCTTCTCAGCGAGGTCTCACTGTTTTGGTGCGACTCCACGGTTTAACTATTGAGAACCCGTGTCCCTCTCATTTCTTAGTGTTTCTTGCAAAACAAACACTAGAAAGATGGAATATTCCACCAAAATGCTTCCCATCCCTTCCCTTTCTCGGAAACCAAACACACCATTAGATGATTTGGTTTCCTTCTTCTTCCTCCTCTTCTCAACATCCAACTTTATATCTTTTTTTTTTTTTTTGAGAAAATTTAACCAGAATTTATTAAGAAAAAGAGGGGGAACAAGGGGAGATATACAAAGCAGGGGGAGAACCCCTACAAGTTACAAAGGAGGTAGCTTGTCGCTATACAAATGCTCCAAGTACACACCAAATTTATCTAGGCCATCTGCAGTATGATTGTGTTCCCTAGGAATCCAAACTAAATTAACATTCAAACAATCCAAAGAATCCCAAGCTTCAGTCAGATAATGATTCAGTCTCCAAGGGCCCCCCTCTTTGTCTCTTTACCATTTTATCGTATTTTCTGAATCACCTGCAATGATCAAATTCTTAATTCCCGAATTTTTTATTATCCTGATTCCGGTGAGAGCAGCCATCACTTCATCCTTTGTGGAGTCAGCCCAGCCGATTGGACCACTAAAAGTCCAGCATTGCCCCTTCCGTCCCTTACTGTACCTCCAATACCAGCAAGACCAGGATTACCTAAGGCACAACCGTCAAAATTAAGGGTTATCACTCCTTCACTGATGGGTACGGGATGCCTCAAGGATGTTTTCTGGGGATGAGGGAGAAACAGAAAGGGGTGAACATCTCTGATAAGATCACTGAAAGTCCTTTGAACAGAGCTGAATTCACCATCCAAAGAAGGATGCAAAGGTAGGTAATATCTGAGATTAATTCATTTATCAAAAAAAAAAAATCTGAGATTAATTCCTCCAAGGTTCTGCTTTTATTGTCAAAGAGGCAATTGTTTCTTTCACCCCAAACACCCCACAACACTGCATGTAGCACTGATTGCCAAAGGACTTTACCCCTTTTGCTTAGCCCTGTTCCTTGCCATTGATTCATTGTGTCCATAATGTGTTTTGGAAAAGCCCAGCTATAACCTGCCACTTTTAAGAAGTGGGACCATATCCTTTGGGTGAAATTGTAGTGAAGAAGGATGTGATCTACAGATTCACCCTCGCTGAGGCATAAAATACAAACATGAGGAGATATGGAGCGTCTTCCCGAAAGTTTTTTCTGTAGGAGATCACAAGTATTAACTTTCTGGAGACAAGCTTCCCAAACAAGAAGCAAATTCTTGAAGGGATGTGGCTACACCAGATTTTCTTCAAAGCTTTTAATTTCTGAAGAAGCCTGAAACCAGTCCACCCCTCTACTTTGCAGTCTTCCTCTCCCCTGTTATCACTCTTTGTCTTCTCTCCCTCCCACCTCCTTCCTGTTCCTTTCTCTAATTCTTCCAACATCATTGTTCTTACCCCACAAGTTGGATCCTCACCTTCAATCACTATGCTGACTTCATAAACTTCTCCGGGAAAGGACAAGTCCAACTTCACAGGTATAGTTTTCACATTCTCTGTCTCCACTAAGATTCTTGCAAAGCGGAGGTCATCCCATCTCTTGTTTTGAAAATCATACATTTAAACTTTCCACAGGCTTCTCTGATGGCTTTGAAAGTTTGGATGCACCATGCATGTAATGGTATCCCAAAAACATTAATCCAAATAAAACTTCTCCCTTCAGTATTCCTCACTTGCCCCACCATGGATACCATTTCCCCAACCTCAGTTCTAGGTATCTATATTTTCCTATCTCTTCTCCCTTTAGAATTTCTTCTATCTCTTCTTTTCTTTTGAACATAAATAAAAATAACCCAGCATACAACTTTCTAACCCACTAGAAACCTTTTCCTCCATTCAAACCACGCCCCTGCTTCCACATCTTTTTGGTTCGGGTCTGAATCGAGGAATCTCTTGACTAAGCAAGTTTCAAGCATGGCTAATCTACTTCTGATCTTTCCTACATCCTTCATGACACCCCTGACACCGCCATTCGGAAGAGGTGATGGAGACAACTTTTGCTTCACAACCACCCCCTGCTTAGAATGAACTAGATTGGCTATAACATATTCCAATCACACCTCATTTTGAAGGATATTTGATTTGGTTACGTAAAATAATATTAAGCTCTTTATTATTTGTCAATGTCCACTTCTGCTAGAAAGTTAAAGGATAAAGTAAAATGTTAGGGAATGACGAAAGGTGATTATTCTCTAGGTAGATTTGGTTGCTTAACTTGTATGCTATATTCCTATCTATTTACCCAGTTTCATTACCCATATACCTTGTCTATTTAAGTCTCTTTATCTACTCTCAAATAACAGCATTATCAAAAGTTAGTGACCATCCTAGATCCTTAAAGTCTTATATGCAGCTGTTGAAATGATGGGTCCAATTTAATAGCTGGTTGGTTTAATGCTAATGCTACAGATGCCTTATCCATTAAAGGTTATACTACAGGTCCCCAATCTAATATCTGGTAAGTTAATGTGAGATAGTTTGCTCATCGGAGCACCCTTTGTTTGCTTACATGTGTTGTCAGCTTAGGGGCTGTTAGGTAACAGATGAAGTGGTTGAACTGAAAAGCTTAGTGTTTTGTCTTTTAAAGAATTAGTTTTTATGGGGTTTTGGTCTCCTACATGGATGAAGCTGTAGTTGGGCAGATTTCTATACCCTTGAATACTTTATTGTTTAGTTCTTTTATCCACTAAAAGACAAAGCAATAAGTCATTCAGTTCAGCAATTTCAGCTGTTATCAAACAGCCCTTAGTCACACTATGTGCTAGTGAAATGTGGTTATCTTTAGGCATTATTAGGTCTGAAGAGTATGTGGAGATTTATGGCTTTGATCGTTGAGGTTTCTGGTTTCTTTCAAGAAAAGTTAGTGCTATTCTTGAAGGATACTTTTATGGATTATTTATAATGCACATTTGCACATAATCTTGCCTTTTGCAATAATTGGCTTAGGTGAAAATATGTACTTGTCCAAGAATACATGGATGTTTTCCCCTTGTTTTCCCCCATTGTTCTTTCTTCTTCTCCTAGTTCTAACTTCTCATCATTTATATTCAGATTTAGAAAAAAAGAGTATCTTTTCCTTTTGGTCTTTTCTATGCCTTGTTATCACTTTTTTTATTTCATTTAAATACATTACATCCATATCTTTCTAATATAAAGTTTTTCTCTACTTGCCAGAATTGGGAGGGTGGAAGGTTGTTCTCATTAAATGAGCAAATCAATCACAAGGTATTCTTTATTTTGGGTAATGAACAAAAGTGAGAAAATATAACCATACTTGGACATACAATGGTGGACTTTGGCATATTGTTGTCTAGGAAGGAAAGAGAGAACCTCACTTGCATTTAAATATATGAACTTTTTGTTCATCCTCTTTTATTACTTCTGGGACATACTCTCCTGTTGCTTAGGTAGTAATGTTTTTATTTATCTATGTATTGTATTGGGCATGGATTCATCTCTTTGTTAGGTAGATTTTAAGAATGTACTTCTGTATTGAGATTTGCTTATCCAGTGTGTATGGAGCAATTTCTATGGTTTGCTTAGAGGGAGCCCAAGGAAGATGCTCACACTCAGGGGATTGTTATTCCATGAAGTAATATCCATGTGCTTGGCTCAAAGGATTGGTTATTTTCTTGGGGCATAAATCTTGTCCTCTATAGCCTTCTTACACTCAGGTATAGACATGACCTCTACATAGTTATGAGGGACAAGTAGAACACATGTTAAAGGCAAAGCTACTAAAAGATAGGGCTGTCAGTGGGTCGGGCCCAGGTGGAACTGGAATCAACCTGACAAGAACTACTAAGGACTCGGAACTGAACAAGCAGGTTCTAGGGCAGATTTATGTGATCTGATACCATGAAGTTATTTTGCCCTAGGCTGGTATAAGAAGATGAGAAGTGAAGAAGAGAGGTGCAGCAACTTGGTTCTGTCTACCCTAACGTACTATTTAAACAAGAGATTACAAATGATGCACAAAACTGCCCCCCCTCCCCATTAGTAGGTAGAAATCCTAGGACCATTAAGCCCCAAATAAGAAGAAATAACAGAGAAAATGAACATTACAGCCCAACCCAAATTACGTATGTGACACAACAGTAGGATACATAGTCAAAAACCCACAAAGGAAAAGGAGATATACTAGGGTAAAGAGGATTAGGGCCCATTTGGTTGATATCCCAGAGCCCATTTCTGTCTCATTCTTGCCAAGATTAGGCAAGAATGGGCCAAGATGATGTTTGATATAGCTATCTATTTAATGGAATAGGCTTGTTTTCTTGTTATTAATTTGATGAAAAAAAGATATAGTTATCTATTCAGTTTCTATCCAGTAAAGGGCAAGAATTTAAGCCCATTTCTTGCCCAAGTGTGGCATGCCCCAAAGTCCTGCACTTGGGCAAGAGCTGGTTTCATTATTGGAAGAAATGTGGTGACATGTCCCTCATATTTGGGAATAATGTTTTAAAACGTGGAGGCGTGATGCGAGGCGTTCCACTACCCAGAGGCGTGAGGCGTAGTTCAGAACGCAAGAGGCGTAAGCCTCCTTAAGAGGAGGGGGGTTAGGAGGAGGATGAAGAGGAAGGGGGGGACCTCATTTCTTTCTTTATTTTTAATAAAAATCTTTTATATTAAGAAGAATAAAGATGCATAACATTAGTTGAAAGGGGGGGGTCTTGTCGAAGCGGAGGGGGGGGTCTGGGGGGCGAAGCCCCCCAACCGAAGGGGCAGGGGGCAAACCACTTTCTTTCCCCTTATCTTTTCTTCCCTTCCCTTTCCTTTTCTTTTCTTTCCTTTTCTCTCTTTTTTTTTTCTTCTCTTTCTTTTTCTTTCCCTTCCCTTCCCTTCCATTTCTTTTCCTTTTCTTTTTCTTCCTTTTTCTTTTTTTTTTTTGTCTTTTTATATAAGATGTGCATGAGGCGCATGAGGCATATTTCTCTAGCACGCCTCATGAAAAAAGTGCACGAGGCATACACCTCAGAGGTGTCAGCTCCTCTGGCATATGCCTCAGAGCGTTTTGGGAGTGCCTCGCTTGGAGGCACGCCTCCCACGCCTTTTAAATTGGGAATGCCTATTCAGTCTAATAAAGAGGAAACATTGGATAGCAGATCTCCATCTCCATGTGGGACCCACTGGTTATTTTTATAAAAATTTCTCATGTATGCTCAAATTTGAAAGAAATGTGGTGACATGCCCCACATATGTGGGGCCAACCAAATCTTTTATAAAAATTTCTCATATGTGATCAAATTTGGAAGAAATGTGGTGACATGTCTCACATATGCGGAGCCCACAGATTCTTATGTAGGGCCCACCAATTATGTTCAAATTTTGAACCAAATGCATTTCTCAAAATTTTTTTATTCTAATAAGAATTTTTGTTTCTTGTTAAATTGAACCAAACAACATTTTTTATTTCTTCCAAACTGTTTTGTTCCATCCTATTTCTTGTTAGAATCAAATTCTGTTTCCAGTAAGAAATGACAGGGCATGGCAGAACTTGGCAATGAACCAAACAGGCCCTTAGAAGAGGACTTGAAGTGTAGTACCCTGGATAGCATATGGTTGATAAGGAATGCAGCATGTAATACACCTTACTCCTAGCAACAAACTTAAGTTACTTGCATCAAGAGTCCATTCTGTTGAGGGGTGTATGTACAAGGTATTTGATGAGTTACCTCTTTTTCATGAGAAAGGAGTTTAGGCTTCTCTCAAAGCACTCTCATACATTATTTGAGCAGAAAACATTCACTTTTCCACCTAATTGAGTAGCATTCACTTGGTAAAACTGTTGAATAATATGAAGGGAATGCTAATGATGTAGTTTATGTAAAAAGTGTCATCCATGCTATTTAATTAGAAGTCACTAATCACTTTATTGAAATATAAATGGGGCATGATTTACTGTTTATGTTTTTCCTCATATTTCTTATATTTTATCTTCTCATTGAGGATCCTAAGTTAATAAGTTTGTGTTCAATTGATTTACTTTATATTTAGTGCAAATTATAAGCTAAATCTCAACATTGCAGGTTGACTTCATCAAGAATGAGCTTCAATACGCGGAAATTCCTCTATTATTGGTAGGAATATTTCTGTTTACTGCAATTTTCTTATGGTATTTGGTATGACTTTTCTCATTGTTCCTTATTCCAACTGCTATGCTAGAATATTTTGATATTTATCAACTTGGATAGCTCTTGAGTGTGAGCATGTATGCTGTAGTGGAGAAAGTCTTTGGAGTATTTGTTTGGTTGCCTCCAATGTTCAAAGTATCAAGATGCTTGAGTTTGACAATTTACAGATAGACACATTAACATCATCATTACTACTTCAATGCATTAAACCAACCTCTACCTCCAAGCATTTCACATATTGGTGACCCTGAAAACTGATATGTATTTTTTTGACAAGTAAAATCAAAATTCCTTGAAAAAATAAAAAGTACATCCCAGATAGGTATTAAGACAACACCTAACAACAGAAACAGAACAAAAAGAGATCCAATCTAAATCTCCATCACATGTATTTGAAACCCCACCACCTCCAAAATCTATCTTCTAGAAATTTCTCCCAGAGGATGAGACACCACCTTCAATGAACAAGGCCAACACTATAGCAGATTGCCTATGACCCACCTATAATGCCCAGCTTCCACTCCTTGTCTTCAGAGGTTCTTCAATTCCATATTACCATCACTCTTCTACCATCTCGAAAATCTACTAACTAATACATATCATACGATATGCTTGGATCATGGTTCACAATATCGGTGATATATCTCCAAAATATCACCATTTGCTAGGCAGCAATACAAAATTTCCTGAGAATCTTTTGTTTCTCAAATATCCTTGATATTTTGCCAACATGTCAGCGATATTTCAGATTTGATTGATAGACTAGATATTTAAAATTTTAGAATATTATTAAAAATTTTCAATATTTCATTAAAACCATCATATTTTTTTAAACATATTTTCCTAAAAGAACCAATGGGGAATTGGTGATTAGATAATTGGCTTACTACTTTTGATATGATTCACTTGCTAAGTCACTATAATTCAAAAGAAAAAGAAAAAATGCATATACTTCCAAATTGTATTCTCAATCTAATCAATATATAATAAGAATAAAGACAAAAGTTAAAATGGCAAATAATTGACATATATAAAGAAGAGAAGATGGTTAAAGACCAAAAGGGAGACACAGAAAGATACCTATTAGAGTCTCTTAATTTTTCCTATTTGATTTATATATTCTTTGCTATGGCTTTGATCCTTAAATGTGCAATTATATTTCTTCTAATGATCTCTTGAAGGTTTATTAACTAATTCTATGTTTCTAGAAAACTTTATTGAATTTTTTAGATTTTTTTGAAGGTAAAAATAAAATTTTATTAAAAGAAAGAGTAGAAAGCCTTATGTGCTGATTCGGCCAAGCTTCTTGTGAAAGGAAAAGGAGAAAGTTGGGGGTTTCAGCAATARACAGAGGAAAGGGAAGAAAAGGAGAAGAAGGTCAACTAGGATAGTGATACATAACCCTAGTCGCCAGCCCCTCATTCTATTTATAATTAACTTAAATATGAGATATTACAAAGATGCCCTTAGTAGGGCGGCAACTCAAACTAAGTACTTAC